AATGATGGTGTCGTAGGTAATGACGAAGTGTCATTATCGCGACAACAATTCTAACTTATTTCTCAAACAAATATACTGGCATATCCCTTAAAATAAACCAATTTTTTCTTCCAAACTCCGAAAGCCCTCTTGATCACACCTCTTAGTGATGAATGTCACTTATTAAATATTTTTTTTCATCCACACTGCTTGACTAGCACTTTCAAAGTCTAAAATGTGATATCTTATGTTGGAAAATGATTTTAGAAATCCCAGTTGTAGTGAATATCCGACATCCACTACATAGTATTTCCCTATTACGACAATCAACCATGAGTTATTATGTGAAACTTTAAGATAAGGTATAAGGAGGACTTATCCAACCTAGAGGCGATAAGGGAAAATTATGAATACAGGAATGTGTCGTAAATGTGAGAAAATTCTAATATCATGAGCATTGTCTTTCCAACCAGCAATGACAAGTAACATATTGAAGTTACATTGTTTCATAACATTCTGTGTAGGTGAATCACAACATTCAAAATATGTAACATTTTTCGACATTTGGCACACGTGCATGAATATGCGTGCCATCAATGACACAATTACAATCTTATATGAAATGGTAATAATTTTAAATTTGAAGATTTTTTTTTTACTTTTGATGAAAAAAAGATCTCTATATACCTTGAAGTATGATATCACAAGATATTTCTGTAGAAATATTTTGGAAAGTTTGGTCTTCAAGCTTGATAACCCTAGAAGAAATACCTACCAATGCATTTAAACCAATAGAGAAATATCTACTATGGTCTCAGATGAGTTTGAAATCTCGCATGTTGACCTTATTGATATTGTGTGATAAGATGTAAAGTGTTATGCTCAATACTTTTTTCGAAGTCATTCTAGAGAAGCCAACGAGATCGTGATTATTGTGTAGTTCATTCAACAGATCAATAAAATTATTTGGCTCATACGGAACATAGTATGGTATCTACTAGGGTGTCCCCAAGAAAATCATTGAACCATTTGTCCCCAGTAAATGTTGACATCATACATGACATGCGAGATATAGATGATTCATAGTATGCAGTAAGTACATACACAATTATTGTAATAATTTTCTTGCAACACTCTCCACGTACTTTCTCAATAAGATTCACAGCTGGAAAAAGATTTGACAATAAAATATTAAAATTGCTTAAGTCAGATTATATCACCCATTACATTTGCTAGCATTAGTAATAGTAATCTGCCAATAATACATCATAAATGAAAATAGACTAAAAGCATGTGTTCAGCCACATAAAAAAGTTATTACACAAAAATGTCAAGTACACTCCACACAGAACGCAAATATACAATAATAATCAGGCGTTGCAATTTTCATAAAAGAATTTTTAAGTAATGGACCATCCTTTTAGGTGTCATGGACGTGAAAATATCCTTCTTTATCTTATCTTAAATTAGCTTTAGTGTGTACATATACAAGGACATATCTTCAAAAACTTTCAATATTTGTTCAAGTATTTTTATTTCATCAAGGATAGATGAAGATTGTTGTGCATTGGTGGCGTCATAAGATAAATTCATACATGTTGTAACTAGCGGATATTTGGCTTCTTAAGTACACATGACCAAATTTTTTAGTATGACTTTCTCTTGCTTTTAAAAGGTGGTGTCATAGCATTTCTAGATTCACTAATATCATTTCTGGCATGCGGTGATATCTCAATAGGATGAATCAGACTATCTCTAGGCTCTTTTAGACCCTAAGCAGTCGCATAAACCTACCAAACATAACATTTAACTTCTCTAGCTCTGGTTCGATTCCACTAAATTAAATTTTTTAGCACTTGGTAAAACCTGTCATTCACATAATCAGAAGAAAGAAGTTATGTATAATAAGTTTGCAACCCAGGAAAATTTAAATATATGTCTTAAAATAGATTTGACCTCTAATTTCTCTTTCCACCAACCTGTTGATGCATCTATGGTGTTTTTAATTGGATCTCAACTAAGGCTAATGGATCCTCTTTTGAGCTCTCCCAAATCTTCCAGTCCTTTCTTAATTGGTCCAATTTATTATTCATGCCTCGCCTTCTAGTTTTTTCATGAAAATTATTTGTAATTTTACGCCAACCTTCTTTGTTGAAATGTGCTGTTGGCTTATTCTCTAATTTAATTTCTTTTATACATATATCACAATTGTTTCTTTGTCCCAAATAGCAGATGTCGTGTCATCCCTTGTATTGCTCATTTGTTGACATAGTTCAAAAAAAAAAAAGCAAAGAGCATGTAACAAAACAAAACAAAAAAAATAAAATTAAACATGACACCATGTCAATCTAAAAAGATTGACATTTGTGAGGAACCATTAAGCAAAAAGGCGTGCTTCTTTCAAATAAATGAGATTCCAACAAGACCACACCGACACTAAAGATCTCCACTCCAACTATATAGACAAGGATAAAGAGCTCTACTCTAGCTATATAGACCATGTGTGAATTTGTAACAATAACTAGATATGTCATTGCTAAATTTATTGGTCTTGAAAAATAATAAAGAAGTTGATTAATACCAGACTAATTATGTTCAAACATAATTCCTCATCCTTCCCACATTTGTAACAATATGTGCCACTCCACCTTATTTCCTTATGTAATTAGTTAAATGCAAATCAAGAGAAATATATTATTCTTCTATTTTATATGTATGTATATATGCATCTCATATCATTCATTCAACTTCATAAAGCGGAACTAGGAAGTTAGAGAAACGATGTCAAACTACTAATTCAAAAAAAGATAGGACTATTATATTCTTACGAGCCTCACAACCACTGTGAATATTTCCAAAATCTCCATTCACAGTGTGAATTATATTCACAGTGTTTGGCGATTATATAAAGAATGTACTTGAATTGTTAGACATATTAGGGGTGGCTAGAAGCTTGTATAATAGTTTCTGGCCATTCCTTTATATTATATTATATTATATTATATATAT